GAAATTACTTCCTTCTGTTTTCACAAACTCTTCATTTTCCTTTACAGAAAAAGAACCCTTGTTATTCTTCATATCTTTGCTAAAAATCTTCAAATATGTCTGAACATTATGCACCGTCTCCCTCAAAATCTGTCAACCATCCTGAGGAGCTCTCCATTGACAAAGTACTTGACGTTACTCCTCTAACAACAATTCCACCTCTTGAGAAGAAGGTCAAGAAACCCAGATCGTCACCTGCAAAGAAATCCAAAGACGGGTTTGACACTTTTAAAGGTAATGCTTCTACTGCTACTAATGATAGGACAGAAGAAGACATTGTTAATGTTGATAGAAGTATTATAAGGCTGGTAGATAGGGGTGTTAAATGAAGGGTTTGATGTGCCTAGAATTTCAACTCCTCTTGCCTGAATGCCTGCTCCAGCTGAAAAAGGAAATGATCCTAAAAATGTTGTTGAATCATCCACCTTCAAGAAAGATGCCGCTGAAAGAAAACTTGGCAAGCTTGCTACTTCTGCTCTAGAAGAAGTGGAAGTTGATGTTGAACAAGATGTTGAGAAGGACTCTCCTGCTAAGGAAGATGTTGTTGGCTCCAAAGCTGCAGAGAATCAAAATACTGAGAATGTGGTTCATGTTGATGAGCTGTCTGACAATGAGCTTATTTCTAATGTGGTGCCTGGAATTGCTAAAAGGCTCAAGACTAGAAAAAGAAAAAATGTGGATGTCACACCGCCTGCCAAGAGCATCAAGAAGAAGACTATGTATGGTCCCCCAAAGCCCTGGAGTAAAGCGGTTCCTCCCTTTGACAAAAGAAAAGCTAGACCTGATAGCTCCATAGATAATGATAATAATGTTGTCCAGAACATCTCACCTGTGAAGAGATCTAAAAGTAAGAAGAAAGTTACATTATTAGAAGAAGCTGACTCTGATTATGATGTCGTGGAAGATGTCCATGACATCTCTCCTGTGAAGAAATCTGCAAGCAAGAAGCTTTCTGTTAGGGTGCCTGATGCTCCTCTTGACAACATTTCCTTCCATTCTGTTGGAAATGCTGAAAAGTGGAAATATGTATTTCAAAGAAGAATTGCCCTTGAAAGTGAGTTGGGAGCTAGTGCGCTGGAGTGCAAAGAGATTATGGAGCTGATTTCTTATGCTGGATTGATGAAGACTGTCACCAGGTTTGCAAAATGTTATGAGACTCTTGTTAAGGAATTTATTATTAATATTCTTATTGACTGTGCTGATCATAAAAGTAAGGAGTATGGAAAGGTGTTTGTTAGAGGTAGGTGTGTAGAATTTTCCTCTGCTATCATCAATAGATTTCTAGATAGGTTTGGAGATGATTATTGTGAGCTGGAAGTAACTGATAATCAAGTGTGCAAAGCCATCACTGCAAACCAAGTGAGTGAGTGGCCCATGAAAAATAAGCTCCTTGTTAGCAAGCTAAGTGTGAAATATGCTATCTTGCATAGAATTGGAGTTGTTAATTGGGTTCCTACCAATCATACCTCAACCATTACAATTGGCTTAAGAAAGTTTATCTATGCCGTTGAAAATAAGAAACTGTTTGATTATGGTGCTTACATTTTTTATCAGACTATTAAGCATACAGGAACATGTGCTATCAAAATGCCTATTGCCTTTCCATCTCTTATTTGTGAAATTATTCTTAATCAACATCCTGGAATTCTGAGTGGTAATGATGTAGTTTGCAAGAGGGAGTCAGCTCTGACCCTTCACTTCAAGCTGTTTTCAAAAAAACATGTCCCAGACATTATTTTGACATTTGCATCTTTTGAAAACAAGACCTAAACCAAGGATGACATGATTACTGAATTAAGGGAAGCCCGCAAAGAACTTGATGATGTGATCAAAGTTAGCTCAGCAAGAAAGCTAATTTTTGAAAACATGATCAAGGAGCTGCAGAAGGATAACTGTTTTGATGATAGAGTGAGCACTGAAGGAGGAGATTCTGATGATGAAGGAAGTTATGACTCTGCCAAGTCTACTGGAACTAAAGACAGTTAGACCATTTGCTTTGTCTCCTTTGTTCTTTTTTGGCACTTGTATGTTCTTGACTCTTGGATTCTATGATTTGTGCTTACTCTATTACTACTATTCTCTTGAATGTATATTTTATTTGGCATATTATGTCTAAAAAGGGGGAGAGAAACTGAATGACCTCTGACTGACTGACCATTGACTGAGGGGGAGCTTATATTTGAGGGGGAGCCTCATGTCTCTGAAGATGTTCTGACATCTTCCTATGCTAATAGCTAACTTAGTTACTTTTGCTAACTGTTAACTAAGTTTATTTTTGCTTGTGCTGCTGTCTGATAATTTGTCAAAATAATGTTTTAGCCAAAATTTGCCAAATGGGGAGTTTATAAGTGTCTGTTGATAACAATTTTGGTAAAACATTGACTTGATAATATTTTGCTAAATGTCTTGACATTTGAAGCAAACTGGTTTTGATGATGTCAAAGCAGATGTCTTGACACCTGCCTCCTGATCTGAACGTGACTTCATATTTGTTTCCTATTTTTATGCGCGCTATTATTCAGGATTTGTGACTCACAGTTTGCAAAAAACATGGAGGAATATTTTTCTATTTGCATTATCCTTATGGATTATATCTTGACCTGTTTTCATGGAAATATTCAAGGGATTGGAATATTTGTTTTTTAGCCCAAGCCCACTGCTGCGCCTTTATAAGAAGTTGCATCCTTATTCATCAGCTGCAACTTTTAAAAGAAGAACACATTCTTTCTGTTTTAGAAGTCTAAGTATTTTTAATTGTAATACACTCTAAGTATTTATTTAATACTTGAGTTGTAATTTGAGTTGTTCATTGTGCATCACTCATAAGCTTTTAAGTATTGGATGATTGAAGTCTTTAAAACATAATAATTATGTTGTTCTTCATTGTTAGTGATTGAAGGGATTTGATGAGGGCCTCATACCTAGGTGTGTCTTAGGTAGAAGTATAACACAGGTAGTGATTAAGTGATTAGATCGTAAACTGGTTGTTTACTGAGGGTCTATGAATTGATACTATTTAGTGGACTTGTCCCTGACTTGGTAGCCTCCAGAGTAGGTATTGTTGTACACCGAACTGGATTAACAATCCCTTGTGTTTTTACTGCTTTTAATTTGGTTGCATTTTATACTGTCCTCAGATATTTGTGTCGTGACATCTCCTTCGACATCTCATATATGATACCAGAATTTCACTTGGTCCAATGTCTTATGCCAGTTCTTTGATTTTTGCCTATGTGTTTCTTGATTAAACTTATGATGACTTTGTTTGCAGCTTCAACTTAGCCATTTGCTTGTGCGTAATAGGGAGTCAACATCAGGAGTTCGATTCTTGATTCTGGAGCGAATTCCACTTTTTTTGTCCGACGAACACCGGACCTTGATCAGTCGGTATGGTTTCAGGGGTTTCATATCAACACGTGATGTGTGACTTTGGATAAAGTTGATCATAGTGTCTTGGTCGACGTTAGTCAAAGACAACACCTCCATCCATTTTGTGAAGTAACCATGGCCACTAAGATATATTTGTGGCTTTTAAAAGTTTGTATGATTGTAGATAAAATAAAGAATTCTTTTTTGTAATCGATGAATATTTTAAGTTTTGATATTGACGTATTGAATTTTTCAAATTCTTTTAAATTGACCAATTTGATGCATGTTTTTTAGCAGGTTAGTTTTACAAAATCGACTTTGATATTTTGGTTTGAACGATTTTAAATGATTTAATTCAATTTTTTGAGTTTTATTCTTACTTTGATTCAATAACAGTTTTGAAAGATTAACTGAAATAGATTCAACTTCAATTTTCAATCTAATCGATTAAACGAGTCAATTTATAAAACGTTTCTAAATTCTTTATAATTTAAAAGTAATTTACAAATTACTTATTACACTTACTGCTAAAAAATTAATGAAAGAATAATATTTAATTTTGATTTATTTTGTAACAACTTTTCTATCTATCTATATATATATATATATATATATATATATATATATATATATATATATATATATATATATATATATATATATATATATATATATATATATATATATATATATATATATGAAAGTATATAATATATTAGTTAGAGATGAAATATTTTTAAAAGAATTTAATTAAAATATATTGATAGTGTAAAAAAATTTACACTCTGTTAATTTTTTGTAAATATTTTATTTTTTCTTTAATTATATATAAAATATAATTTATGAATGATTATAATTGTATAAATTATATAAAATATTTTATACTTACGATATATATATCAATTACTCTTTTAAAAAATAATAAAACTGTTGTTTAAATATTTTTATTAACTCTAAAAGTTACACACAATTATTTATTTTAAGAGTTTATTATTTATTTTTAACGATTAAAATTTATACACATTCTAAAAATCAAAAATATTTTTGCAAATTAAAAAGGCTTAACAAATTGATGATTTTTTCATGAAAAAAAGGTTATTTTTATGATTTTTTTTTGTTGATAAAGAGAGTTTCGACAATTTACATTTTACAAAAAAATCCCGCGAAATGCGTTATTGGTACTATATTTAGCGAAAACAAATCAAGCTAAAATAAGAAAAACTCCAATTTCTTTTTAATTTTCATGGAACCTTCCTCCTATTCCAAATACTTTTATTCAAAAAGTAAAACAAATAGAAAAAGTTAGAGGCACAGTACTATCTTCAATTCAGAGAGAGAGAGGATCCGAGGGAAGGAGTGTCCGAGAAATCAAACGAAACTCATACGGCGCGGTGAACTTGAGAATATTCCAACAAGAGTATTTAATTATTTATTAATTAATCTCTGATTAATTAGCATCACAGTTTAATTAGCATCACAGTTTAATTAGCATCACAGTTACAAATTCAGTTTCATAATCGCCAAGAAAGAGTATAATATAATAGCTTATAGCTATAACAGTTACAACTATTAGCTATTATCGTTACGTTGCGATGAATTACGAAAAGGAGAAAACCGTTTTTTCATCTTCTTCTTCTTCTTCCTTTACCTTATCCAAAGGGATCAATGGTCTCGATAAGGTTCTTCTTCGCGAGTCTCGTGGTTCATCCGCAGAGGTAATCGTAGCCGAAACTGTGATCATCTTATTTTTTTTCGATGATTTTTTTTCGAAGATTTTTTTTCTTGATCTGTTTCCATTTCATGCAATTAGCATCTTTATACGCTTTCACCGATTTAGATTTCATCGATCCTTTTTGATATATATATTTTTTATTTTTTATTTTTAATATTCCGATCTCGTGGAGTTTGTTAGATCTCGTTTTTGATCTTGCTTCATTGATTGTAGTTATTTGAAGGATGATCTTCGATCTTACTCATGCAGTGATTTTTGTTGAATTGAACGGAAAATTTTGGAATTAGAATGATGAGAAATGAAAAGAATCGGTTATGTTGTTGGATTGTTCTGTTTGATTCTGATTTTTGATTGCATTTTGCTTTTTTTGTTTGTTTGATTTGCGATCTGTAGGTTTACCTGTACGGTGGTCACGTGACTTCTTGGAAGAATGAACATGCAGAGGAATTGCTTTTTCTCAGTAGTAAGGTTCGTGATTTAAGTTTGATGAACAGTGTTCGTTTCTAGTATTTTTTAGTGTCGGTGCAATAATTTAGTTATCTGAGTTTATCTATGGTAATTCTATGCTGGCTAGAGAGAAGGAAAAGGAAAAAGTACACCTAAGTTCGGTTTTGCCATGTGAATGATAATTCATGCAGTGAGTGATTAGTAGAAGTGGCTTGATTTCGGATGATTGTATGATCTGTAGGTGGTTTGGGATCTTGATTTGCTTTTAAAGAAAATTAACATCGAACTTTATCTCCAACTGGCGAGACTGAATCAAAATTGGCTTCAAAATGTTCTAGTTTCTATCTTGCTTTTTAAGTAATTTGTAATTTTTAAATTCCTGATATTAAGATTTGCTTTCATGTCAGTTATTCCAGATTCGGGGTAAATATTTTGATATGGTTTTTCTGTCTGTTTGTGACTATTGGTTTTTGAAATATTTCAACTCCAGCTTTCATGGTGATTAGATGATCAATGGACCACGTCTGTACTATTATTATCCTGTTAATTGTGCAGGCTATCTTTAAGCCACCTAAGGCTATCCGCGGAGGGATTCCAATATGCTTTCCACAAGTATGTATTTCTTAACTATTTCTTTTTAATTTTTGTACAATTCTTCTCAACTGTTTCTGTTTTCCATGAAAATGAGAGGTGAAAGAAATAGTTCATGAACTCTTCTAACTCAAGCTCCAATGACTTAAAATTTGATCTGTTCTGTAAATGAAATCCTAGCTTATCACATTCCTGCCAGAAAATTAAATCCATTAGCATGTCTCGACTTCTCAAGTCATGTATTGCAGATTAAAAGTTCATTGTATGTAGGCATTTCGGGGGAGGGAGTTTATATTATCTTTCGTGATAATAATAAAGTTGAAGAAACTAAAGAAATAAAGCTAAGAAAGAATCATTTGATGCCTTGATTTAATTTTGTTGCATCACACAACCCTACGGAGAGAGTAATACACTTCCATTTTGAGACTTCAGAGCTGGGCATATTACATCACTTAGACTAGTCACAAAGTCCAGCAAAGCAATTAGTCAACAGATTAAGGTCCAGGTTAGATAACCAGCCTCTAATAAAAGTAGTTAACAACAATGTTTTGGAATCAGAGAGTCTAAATAAATTCGGAGGGGGTTGAAAGATCTAACTCGAAGGTCTTGAGTGAGGAAGAAGAAAAACACCTATTTTTCTCTTAAAATTTAAACATATAATTTCCAAAGCCTGACCTGGTCTGATTTAATTTAAAACATAATTTTCTGAAAGAAAAAAGAACCTAGCCCTAAATTGCAATCCGCGGTGATCCCACATCTTTTGATCACGTGTATTAGAGTAATAGAAATGTAGAAGGAGTAGAAAGAGAGAAGAGAAAGTTACGACTAGAGGTTCTTGGATCACATATTTGTGCGTGCCCACGAGTATACTCGTGATCCTATACATTACGTAGAGACAAATAACTACCTACCTTTACTCCCCAATCAGCAATGCGCTTTAAATCTCCGTCACCTTAACCAAACATGACCAGATATGGTTTTAATCTCTAGCATCACTGCTGATAATAAAAACCACGATTTCACTGCTGTTTCGATCAAACTATATCTGCCAGTATATTGATATCCTTAGTAACAACAGAACCAATCAAAATTAAAATAATTAATGAAAGTTGTATGATCAATTTCTGTAAATCATTATAATTTCTAAATGGCCTTCCAAAACTTGTGTTTGTTGTTATCATCATATTCCAGACGACATGGTGAAGGAAAATTTCTATTTTCTATTTGTTTGCAGTTTGCAAACCATGGACCCCTGGAATCACATGGATTTGCTAGAAATCGGTTTTGGACCATTGAAGATGATCCTCCTCCTTTTCCAACAAATAATTTGAGCAAAGCCTTTGTTGATTTGATTCTTAAACCCTCTGAAGAAGACTTGAAAATCTGGAACCACAGGTATTTATAGAAACCATTCAGAAATTTCTTACTATTTTTCTACTACTTTGTTTAAAGTTGTTGTATAATCATATTATGTTTCTGATGTTATATGCATTTCTTTTTCTTGTGTGTAGTTTCGAGTACCGTTTGAGGGTAGCTTTGGGACCCGCAGGAGATTTGATGTTGACTTCTCGGATTCGGAACACAAACATTGATGGAAAGCCATTTTCGTTCACCTTTGCTTATCATACATATCTATCAGTATCAGACATAAGGTATGGGATTGGAATATGTTAGTCTCACACTTCAGTATCACTGTTTTGTATTTTACTGGCTTTTATCTGTTGTTACATTTAGAAAGTCGCTTTTAATTTGATTTTGTTACCATGGTTAGTCTACTGTCATCAATGGCATTTCATTACTTTTGAAAATCAAATTAATATAACACTGATTGGTTAATTTTGTTACTGAAGATGTAACAATTGGTTGTAGTTTTCCAGAAGTCAAATCCAAAAGTTCCAAGTGTAACAACAAGCTATGTTGTCAATGGCACGCCACCGCTATAGTTGAATAGTGTAGCGGTGGTAGGGTTCGGTGCAACACTATTGGTATCCTTGCCGCTGTCAAGAGTAGAGGCCGCTAATTGTGGCTCCAAACAGCTATTGCGACCGTTATTAGAATTTTGGAGATAAATTCCTCAAATTCTATTTTTAAAACTGTTCATTTTTAAGGGTATAAATTTCAATCCTAACCCTTCGAAGAGTAATGTTATGTTTCTGCTCACAAATGATCATTTTGCTCTTCATATTTTGAGTTTAGTTCGGTCTTCTTCTTCTTCTATGCTGAAGTATTATTACTCTATACTTTAAGTTAACTTATTAAGAATGAATTAAGATATTTTTAATTTTGTGTATTAGTCTACTTTTTAGTATTTATGTTTCCTTTGTACATTTGTTTTGTCTTTGATATGGCGGCTATCCTGCTATCCACTATTCTGCAACGCCATACGAGATTAGCAACATAGACATTAGGTGCATATATAATAAAGAAGGGCATAATATATTATTGACGAGAGATTTAATTTGGTAGCATGGGTAGGAGGGAGTTTATAGCTTTGGATGCCTTAGGAGGGGTAGAGGGAGGCATAGGATAACTATAAGAGAAACCATTGAAAGACATTGCTTTAAATGGTCTTATTGGAAATTCATTTGTTTGAATAGCTCAATAGCTTTAATTGTATAGGATAACATAGACACTAGGTGCATTTAGTCATACGACCTCACATAGTCGGATAAGTTTTAGTTATATCTTTTGGTTGAGATCCAGTTCAAGAGGCATGTAGCGAACAAGCTGAGTGAGCAGAAATCTTCATGATTAGCAATTTGGTGTTACGGATTTATAAAAATGTGGACTTTTTCTTCATGTTGGCAGTTGTAGTTGTCTCCAATGTGAAAGATGCTTGTAACTTCAAAAACCAACTGAATTTTTGGTTTTTGGTACATGCTGGTGGTGCAGAGTACGGATATGCAAAATTTTGCAGATGTAGAAACACTATTGCTGTAATTTGTTGAATGGAATTTGTCGCTTGCAACTACTATTACTTTGTTCAGTTAATTTTTTTCAATTTGTGCTCAGTACTTGGGTGAAATTTAAGTTTGTTATTATTTTTCAACTTCAGTTGGTGGAATTAGAAATTGTGGTATCTATCTACATTTGACATATGTTTCTTGGTTTTATCTGCTATTTTGACTTGCTATTTCTTGCTGTTCTTTTAAGCTTACTTTCTACGAATTAGTTGTTGTACAAATGTTTGTTCAGTTCTTCAGATAGAGTGCCTAACCAGTTTGCCTTTATGTGTTCAGTGAAGTTCGGGTTGAGGGATTAGAGACCCTGGATTATCTTGACAACTTGCAGAACAAGGAGCGTTTTACTGAACAGGGGGACGCTTTGACGTTTGAATCAGAAGTAAGTCTGTTTTTTCCCTTCTAGTTAGTTTCAAGAAGCAGAGATGATTGTATTATAGGTCCTAAATTTATTTGACTGGAATAAATTAAAGGGTCATGCTAACAAGTGCCCTAAGGGAACTAGTTAAGGAAACCTAAAATAGAAGTTTTGCATTGAAAAACACAAATTTTGAACTTTCAGAAAGTTGATTACATCACTTTCCAACATAGTGTTTCTGCCTTTGTATTCTTAACAAATTCCCTAAGGGTACTCATTAGCATTTTCCTAAATTAAATATTATTTTCCATTTATGTTTTTGAAATGAAAAAAAAAGTTACATTTTTAATTAACAAAAAAGAAGTGGGAACCACTTAATATGTAAAATATTGAAACAGTATATAGTTCCTGTAGATGCTTTTCATTTTTTAATTGGATATAAAATTTATTTTTGCCAGTGCTGAATAATTCTTTCATGCCAAAAGTATGCACTGGTAGCTATTTTTTCATTGGCAGAAAGAAGCAATATAACATTTGATTCTTCTCCATCCCCTGCTCCCCACTATCAGCCTTTATTAAAAGAATAGTTCACCCAGAAGTAGACCCTAGCACACCCTATAAACTCTATTGTAATTGACTGTAACTCTTTGTAACTAACCTAACTTAGCAATTTAGGCGACTAGGGGCCTAGCGCAATGAAGGTAGGATTTCCAACACATGATTAGGTTTACCTAGAGCATATTAGAGCTCTTGTAGATCTTAGCACACCCTATAAACTATTGTAATTTGTAACAGATTCTAACTGTTTGTGACTAACCGGGTCAGTGAAGAACCGTTAATACTTCACTTATTCTGTTCAAATGTGTATAGCCAATGAAGATGTATGTTTCACATGCTTTTTTCCTATAAACTGATACATCTCTTACTCTTGATATGATAGGTTGACAAGATATATCTTAGTACTCCAACAAAGATTGCAATTATTGATCACGAGAAAAAGAGGACATTTGTTTTGCGTAAAGATGGCATTCCTGATGCTGGTAAGTATTTTCCTACTTATCTTCATCAATTTGTACTTCATTTCATAGATGTATGAATTTTATAAAAGCCGGTACTATTTGGGACAATCAGAAGTATGGAATTGATAAAGCTTAAAAATTATTACAAACGTTTTATTAGATTTTAACTCTACGTTATCAAATTTAAGTGGTTGTTGGTCTAACCTTTTTGTAATATTTGATTATTTTTCTATCCAGTGGTGTGGAATCCTTGGGATAAGAAAGCAAAGGCTATGGCTGATTTCGGCGATGATGAGTACAAGCATATGCTTTGTGTAGAGGCTGCTGCTATTGAAAAGTCTATCACTTTGAAACCTGGAGAAGAATGGAAAGGAAGACTAGAGCTTTCAGCTGTTCCATCTAGTTACTGTAGTGGGCAGCTTGATCCCCAGAAAGTTCTTCAGGGAAGCTGAAAGATCATTGTTGCATTCTGTGTCCTGTACAGGTGAGAACTGCAAATTGATATGTTTCAATTGTCTTTTAGCTCAACATATAAAAGCAAGACATGGAGACCTTTGAAGCCTTTATTTACGTTTTTCTACCAATAGTTTTGGATACAGAATATGTTGAAACGTTCTACATCTTAAGTCCTTATAGCATAACAGAGCAAGATTAAAAAAGGGGAATTGTATGTCTTGTGTATTTTTTTCGAGATTTGAGTTGAGTAGTTACTTTCACCAAACAATTAGGGCCCGGTTGCTTTGAGAAAACTTTCTCTTTTCATTTTTTATTGTCATTTTAAAAAAATGATATTCAATTTCATATTTTCAAGTTTTAGGAAATATGTTTGTTTTGATTTCTTATTTTCTTTTTCATTGTTTTCTAACTTGATTGTTTATTCGTAAAATAATTTATATTAATAATGAAGAAAAAATTTATGTCAGCTCCGCCTCTTGTTGCACATATTTTTTTCATTTTATTAGTCATTGTTGATTTACATTATTGTTTATGTTAGTTACCATATACAAAGGTGTATCTTCAATGTTCCATGTATTTTGTTTTTTCATTTTTTAGTTGGGTTAACACAACTTATCGCCATCATCAGATAATCTAGCATTAAATTAAAAGACATCTCTTGATGAAAATGCTTTGATTTCATTTTCATTTTCTGACTTTTTTAATAAAACGTTTTCAAAAATATAAAGTAAACATATTTTCTCCCTTATAAGTTTGATTCTGATATCTTGATATTCTTATGATCTGATTAGTCTGCGAATGAGGAATCTCTCTTCATCTGGTCTTTTTATTCTTTTTTATTTGGATTCGAATTATCTCACTAAACCTTTGAATGATTTCTCTGCAGGTAGCATGTTGCAAAATTTACTGATGATGAAAGGAAAATTTCCCAGTAATTTTGCCCCTAGATGTTCCTTCTGTTTTGGAAGATGAACTCATGTTGGTTAGGATTTTATGAACTGTTGTTTTTTTCCCTTATAATGGATGACTAGTGTGGTCATAACAAAACTGAACAAAGCATATGATCAGACGGGTCCACTGTTGCCATGGAAAAACGAATTTACAGCCTACAATTTAACAGATTTTCACGTTGAGTTGAATGGCCTATACCCAGAGGGATTCTATTTTGAATCCAAGTGGTATTTTGGATTCTCAAATCCCTACATTTGTTTACTATGTTGGTGGAGTACTACTTCCTTGAAGAATACTAATATAAAAGGAATGTACGACGGATTCGTTGACAAGTTATATCAAATATTTGTGGGCTGTTTTTGTTATTACTATCCTATTTTTCCTACTTTTCTACTTTATATTTTATTTTATCCTATGTTTGGAACCGCAATTCCAAAGCAGAGCTCACTGCAATTCTTCCAAAGCTACAAACTAGCTTAACCGCACAACATAATTGATAATGCAACATGAGGATGCAGCTTATGTTTGTAGAAGTCAATCATAATTTCTCTTCTCCCTCCCTATGAAAATGCCCTTAGAATGAATTGGCTAATGCAGTGTAGAGTCTGGTTGCAATTTGTATTGTGTGACTATGGCATTACGGCGTATTGTGATGGGGGAGGAGGTGATAGAGCCTTACTTGATGGAACTTGATTTTGCCTTGAAGGATATGAGGTCGTAGGCTTTGAGAGTATTAATTGAGGCTGAGATTTCAGTGTCATAATCTTTTACACCTAGAAAAAGATCTTAGACAACACATAAGCGATTGATTTTGCTGTGAATCAGCATAGTATGGTGGGCAAATGAGGTTTAGATGTAAGAATTTGATTTCGCTGTGAATCAGCATAGTATGGTGGGCAAATGAGGTTTAAATGTAAGAATTTGATTTCGTAAACTAGTTTTATCCCGATGACACCGTAGCAGACTTGAGAACAAATTCTAGAGGAACTCCAGTCGCAGATGTTTTACGACAGTTTGAACTGACTTTTTTTACCTGCATTGGCCATGAAAGAGGTATTAAACTTTTTCTTATATATAAATTAAATACACCTTGTTTCTATTATAAGCAATAATTTTTTTTCTTCATTTATTGAATAATTGATATATCTTATTATTATCATATATTAATGAATAAATTTATTTTTGTTGCTTATAAAATAGTAATCAAAATGTTGTTTATAATAGTGATAGGAAGGGCTATAAATTTAAATATAATTTTTTTAATTTATCAATTTATTGTTTGCTGTAAATTGCTACTAGTAAGCATGTGTTTGGTTAAACTTTTATGATTTTTTTAAAAATGTGTTAACCAACTAAACCATTAACTAGATTTGAAAGTGATTTTATAATTAACTTACGTTCATACATTTTTTATACGATTTTTTTCACATTTTTCATATTTCTTTTTTGAGAAAACTCTAGATTATTTTGTTAAAAACTTGCTCATAGTATTCTAAGCTTATTCACGTTTCATTAGTTTTAGAGGAAATATGGAAGTAAATGAATTTGAGGTTAAAAATTAGTTTTAAAAATAACAAAGTCAATAACCAATTTTAAAAAATAAACGAATTTAAGTAAAAATAATTGGTTTTTTATCTAACTTTATAGATAATTTTGTTTAAAAATAGTTTTGAAATGATATTTTAATTTAAGTTGGTGTTATACTCCAACTACTTAAGAACATTTATTATCTCATTTTATCAATATATCAAAGATCATGTATTATGGTTTGTTCTCTCTTTCTACTTCATTCTATCTTTAAGTTTGTTTTTGAGAAATCATCAGGTACCTTGAGTTGTATATCTTATATAAATGTTGTGATTATGTTTGCTAACCTTTTAACCTTTAATCAAAATTCAAAAGATGTGTATTTGTTTTTGTTTTGTATATTGTAGGTAGGGAGCCAAGTGCACCTCTTGAGTTAAGGGTTTGGAGAGTGATCCTCAATTAAATGGTGATTGAATGGATTGCAAAAAGCTTGAGTTTCAAGGCAATCTCTATGGCATCAAAGCTCTTTGTTCTAAAGAGATCTCTCAACTTCATTTGGTCAAGTCTTCCTCAAGGTTGGGAGTGGTATGCATCAAGAAGATTAATAGGTTTATGTGTTTATTCACATGTCTTCTTCAAAAAAATTCATTGAGACTTAAACTCTATCTTTGAGTGTGTTTCAAGATAACATAATTTCAAGGTCTAATAAGATCTATCATGCTCTATTTTGCATAGAAAGTTCAAAAGATTCAAGGTTGATTCAACAAGTTTGACCTAATTGAATAAGTGCTTGATTCAGTGATCACAAGTACATAACTCTCTCAATTTTCAATATTTTGAGTTGGTTCTTTTTGTTACAGATTTTTATTATCATCTACAACAACTTCTCTTCACATGACAAGATCTAACTGTGCAAGAAAAAATATTAAAAGTTGAAAGGAGTTCCAAGTTATTTTGACACTCTGAGTTAGGGTTTACTGACCTTCAAGGACCATATATTACTTATTTTTTGATATTTTTGATTGATTTCAAAGCCATAATTCTCTTTAAAGGGTTCTTAATAAGTTCTCTTCAAGAATCTAAGGTTAATTTTGAGTCGAAGATCACTAATAGTTGAGAAAGATTACAAGTCTTTTGAGAAAGCTATCAAATTCTCTTGTGTGACTTCAAAGGATTATAATTTGATCATCTTTTATCTCTTTGAGCTCATTCTTTTTCTACAATAATTTTTGGGATGTCAACTACAACTTTGTTTCAATATGCAAGGCTTAAAAAGACCTGGAAAGTTGTTTAAGAATTGAAAATATTATAAGTCTTTTGTAAATTTTTTCAAATTTGTTCATCATCTTTCAAAGACCACCTCTTTCAATATTTATGATTTTTGAGTGATCTCAATTTCACAATTCAATTTAAAGGGGCTACTTCATTTCATATTCAAGAATCAGGAGCTAATTTTGAGCGGAAAGACATGTAACTTTGAAGAATATTATAGGTCATTTTGAGGTCTCATACTTAGAAATATTTTTAAGTACAAAAGTCAGATTTTTTTTTACGATTTCAAAGTGATGTAATTTTTTGCTCAGATTTTCAAATGATACCTTTCTTGTTACATTGTAAATTTTTTGACCTCATCTTCCAAATGCAAAAAGAATGAATCCAAAAAGGTCCTTGAGCAGTGAGCTATGCATTGAGGAAGTTGGCACCATAGATTGATATTTTTGCTCGAGAGTCAGATTTTTGAACTTGCTAATTCACAAATTAAGCAAGTTTTGTACATAATTATTTCACTTATCATTTCTAATGAGATTCTAGATTGTGTTTAGTGCATAAAGCGCAAAATTTGAGTGTGTTTTGTCCATGTGCAAGTCACACTTTTCACACACCACATGATCAACTTGATATGCACGATTCTCTCAAAATTTCTCTCCACTCTTATCACTATTCAATCTTTCTATAAATAGAGACTCTTTCTACATCATTTCCTCAAACTTGAACAACTAAAATCACCCTGCCAAACTCTCTCCATAGCTCACATTTCTGAGATTTTTAAATCACAATTTTCTCCCTTCCAGCTCCAATTTCTTTATTCATTCTTCTTCCTTGAACTTCACTGAAGCTAACAGAAGAAGAATTAAGTCTTAAGGTGCTCTAAATCGCGTAAGCCAAGTCAAGTTTCAGAGCAATTTCTTCATACTTTGTTCAGGTAGTTTAAAGCATCAATTCTTCTAACTCAAATTACTGGAATGGTTTATGATGTTCATTGATGCTTGCTGATAGTTTAATTTTGATCAATTGATACATTTGATGCATCTGTTTGCAAATTCAAATTTTTCAAAAACTTTGGGTTCTTCTAAATCGAGTGAGCTACACTTTAAATAATTTTTTCGCGAGCATATGGTCGCAATCGTCTCAAGTAGACACATATAATGGTACCACTATGAACGCGTACATTTAAAAATTTAAGGATATGCGTTTTTTCCTAGTTGTAGGAGGCTGGAGGTTGAAGATGACCTACGTGTCGTTCTTCAATCAATGATACACAACCAAGCATTTTAATCTGATTGATTGGATTTTTTTGTGTTGCCTGCGCGGATTTTATAAATGATCACCGTACGTCCTAGCTTCAGCGCCCTTGGTTTGCCAACGTGTATAAGTGAGTTGAATCCAATGCACCACAATTATTTTAGTTTTATTTTTATTTTTTGATTTTTGATTTAATTGTTTTAAACTTTAAATATTCATAAAAAATTATTTCAACTTTTAAAATTGTGAAAAAATTATCAAAAATACTTTTAATTTTTCTCTTTTCTGATTTTTATTTTTTTCATAATTTTATTTTCTGATTTGGTATTTTTTATGATTTTTTACTTTATTTGACTTATTTTAATTGTTTAAAAATACTTTCTTGATTTTAAAATTCTGAAAAAGTTATGGAAGGATCCAATGACCTCTTAATAAATATTGGTGACCTAGTTTTATTTTTATTTTTGATTTTACTATTTTTCACAAATTTTGGTTTATTTTGCTTATTTCTTTAAATTTTAAAAATAGTTTCTGACTTTAAAAAATTCTAAAATTTTTTGTCAACACTTGTTGACTCATGTTTTACTTATGATATTTTTTTGAGATTTTTATTTGGTGTTTTAATACATGTTGTGTATTTTACCAATTATTTCCTTTTTAAATTATTTAAAATTTGTTTTATATTAAATATATTTTAATTTTTTTTATAGATTCTGATTTGGAGACACTTGAATGTTTATTTTTTGGGAAAATTTCTTAGCCTCATTGGATCTTGGGTATTGATAGATTGAGAATCCAAATTCACCAAAATGGATGAATGATGTTGATGATATTTGAAATCCTAGTTTCATCTGATACATTCCCCTCCCTCTTCATCTTATCTCTTTCTTGTTTTTACTTGTACTACATGTTTTTGGAGAATGATCTACATATCATTTATTTAACATATTTGATACATATATTGCTATTGATCGACCTCAAAATAAGTGTGACTTCTATATAAGTTCACTTACGATTGCATAACATAGCGTTAAATTTGTCCTGATTCAAAAAATAATCATTCGTGGCTCAAACCTATGTTTACAAGTCCAAGTATGTTTAATTTGAAATCTTTGATCCAATAACTTTGAAGTTCATTGTTAGAAGGCTTTGATTATCAATTCTCTAATGAACTTCATGAATTTTGGTCTAAGTGAATCATTTGAACATCATTGATCATATGTGGTTTCTTTGAGCAATTGAAATAAATGATATACTTGATAAAAAATAAATGAAACTTGTTGTTGAGAAGATTTGACTTTATCAATCTTCTAATGAGTTTTCAAAAGCAAGCTTCAAGATGGTCATTCAACTAACTCTCTA